TGGAAGATCTTAATTTGGAGAAACCAACAGCAAAAACAGACATGTTAAAAGGGTTTAAGAAAAAAAGGTTAGCTGACACCATTGTAGACCTAAGATTCTGGCAGACTAAAATGAAAGTTTTATTTCTCTGAACTTCTGCATTATCATTAATACTATTTTGGGATGTGTTTAGCAGTGACAATGAAAAGATTGCTTTTTCTTTGCCTTGGCTCTGAAGTAGGTGCTGTCCTTCCTCCTCCATTCCAAGCAGCTTATGAATGCAACTGATCTCTCTCATTTTCCTTCTGAGAAGCTGACAGTTAAGTTCTCTCTTGTTCCATTTGCTGTGGTTTATAATCTGAATGATACTGTCAGATATTTCCTTAGGTTCTTAGGTAAGGTTCACTTGTACATAAATTTTCAGGATGACCTACAACTGCACATTTTAAAGATACTGGCTAGCTTCTTCTCTGAGTATAACACCACTTTTAAACCTGTCATTTACTTTTGTGGGTAGCTCTGTTATCTTATACTGTAATTTCTCAGAGGAATACCATCTTGCCCCAGTGATTTACTGCATTGGAAGTTCTTGCTTTCTCCTCATTCCATCTGACAGTGCCATACCTTCTGAAGCTATAAAGAATAACCCCTGGTTACACATTTCCTCTTTCTCAGATGTTGTGGTAGCCAGTGACAAACAAACACTTAGCTTATAATCTTTAACTATCACATTTGTTCTTAGGTGCTCTAGCGGAACAATGCCTCTCCTTTCAAACAGTCTCATATCTCAAAACATCTTCTCCGACAAATCCTCAGCCCCACAAAAAATATCTCACTGTACGTTCAATTCCTGCCCAGCAGCAACCAGGCAAGCAGAGTGCAAAGAAGCTGGTAGGACCAGGGACTGTGGAAACTTCTTCTCCAAATTAGAGAGGCCTGTTAGCACTAGCAATTATTATTAGCAATGTGCGGGCTGGTAATACTGGGTGGATTATCGTTGACTAGCGTTGAAAAAGAATTGTTCCTATCTGAACTGACTACAAAGACGGGGCAGTGCCTTTGCAGTCTAATGACAGTTTGTTAAAAAATAAACCATAGTTAAACCAATTTCTTGCATCTACATTCTATTTTACTAAATTATGCAATGGAGCCTAGCGTAATAGCAGAGCTTGACTACAGCTGCAGTAGACTGACACACTGGGGTGCCCACGTAACTCCCGTTTCAGTCAACGATTACTAGGTTTTTTGAAGTCAGAAGCAAAAGAAAACTGTCACCAAGGAGAGTCTAGTGACTGAAGTCTAGTGAATTTCTAAGCGAGCCAAAGTTAGTTATATTAACCACACCTTTCTGTATGTTTTTTAAATTTTAATATTCATTTTCTCTGCTTTTTATAACCATTTTCCCATGCAAACAAGATGAGGAAACTGGTAGGAGCAGTGAAATTGGTTAGGCACAAAAGCCCCCTTAGTTCATTCCAAAGACACTGTTTGTTGTAATGGCAAGTAAATTAAAACAGTTTCACAGAGCAGTAGGATTTTAGAGTTGACTTCGACCTCTTGCAGTTATGCGAACTGATTGTATATAGTTCATCCAGTTATTAACAAACAGAATATTTTGTCAACATCAATGAACAAGAAGAAATGTATTAGATATGACATGACGATATGTGGATAGCTGAGATCTGGGGACAACCTGCTGGACTGTGGGCTCTCTACTGACCCAAAGTTTGGAAAAGCATGTTAACTAGGGAGTTGCTTTCCCTTTGACTTTATTTCTTTGATGTCAGTTCATTCTGAGTAAGCAGGGCCCAATTTGGTAGCTTAGTTTTGAATAAAATTTGAATAGTGACTCTCAAGTGAAGTTTCATGTGTAAGTTAATCTAAAAAAAAGATTCTATCTCACTGCTAAGCACAGATGCCTCAAAAGTCAGAGGCTGGATAAAGCAAATTTTTTTTGGAGCTTTGATTGCTTTGAGGGAGGGAAGGCTGAAGAAGACTGCCTTTTCCTAGGTATCAGAAGGCATAAGAAGCAGGAATTTCTCAATAGATAGAGTCATCAGCTATCAAAAAGCACAAGCATATTTGTTTAGGTGATGAATGCCTCTGAAAGCTCTGCTTCCTTCAGCATCCATAAAAGTGTAAAATGCTAAATATCGTGCAGGTATCTTTGTGAGGATCCAAAAGAGAGAGAAGTCCTGAATCCCTACGTGTGAAGAAAAAGGGTGGGGAGAAAAACATTTCTCAGAGATTTTGTTTGACAAAGTCTTTGAATAAAAGGTCTTGTGTCAACACATCTGAACTACCTTTACAGCCCTGTTAGAGATTATACCAGTGCAACGGCCAAAGGTATCAATCTTAACCCACAACGAAGTTACTTATTAATCAAAATGCAAACCTGTACATGATAATACTTTGTAACTTTCTCAGTAACAAATTTGCAGCCACCAACCTAAAAACCTCTTTCTGACATAGCAATGACTGAAAACATTAACTAACCTGGAATTCCTGTTTTCTGTCTTCAACTTCTAAAGACAAATAAAATTAACAAAAGTAGCTCTGGTTACAATCACATATATAATTGTTTGAGGATATGTGGTACTGACCCCAGTCAGTCCCGAAATCAACCCATTCACATATTTTTTAGCCATTCCCTATTGCTGAAATGGTGTACTCCCCGATACTTCACTCATCTTTCTCAACAAAATGCCATCTAGCCACTGCCACTAAAGGCAGAGCAAATATGCAGAGCTATTCAGTGGAGACCAATGCAATCACCCAGGAGCAGCCCCTTCCCAGAGTGTCTGCAAATAAGGACTTTCTCCTACAGGTATAGAACTGAAAATACGCTGAAAGTTATACAAGACAAACAGTAAAGTCCATTTGTTGCCCTAAAGTGCTTTCCATATTAAGCTTACAATGGCGAGCCAGCCAGGAAGCACTGTGGCTGGGCAGCACAACTAATTTCTAAGTAGGAGACTGTTACCTTCCTAAACAAAATTACAGGCAACTGTTAGAAGCATCTATTGGCAATTAAACCCCAGAGTCACCACTGTATTCTGCTAAAAAGCTACAGTGACAGTAAAAACCTTGACTACAAATTTAGGGGCACAAAGGAGATTTTGCACAAGTTACTGTAAAACTTATTAGGCTTTATGACTCTTGCTTTACTAGTGTTTTTCTCTTGAAATTAGGCCTCCTTTTTTTTTATTCTAATACAAAGCTGAAAGTTTATAGCAATAAGAGCAGACAGCATAAGGATAAATCACTACTATATTCCAGTTTCAATTAAAAATACTGAAATAAAATTCAAAAAAAAAGAGCGTTTCAGAACTGACAGGCCACACAGTATCACAAACTACTACTATTTATTGGACTCTGTCTGTCACCTTATGCACATATTTATAGCACAGGTAGATTGAGTAAGCATACATATTAGAGGAGAAAGAAAGGCAAATATACACATTTCAATTGACTGAGAAAAAGTCCTGCCATGATCCCATGACCCAAAATAACACAGCTTTCACAAACAGCTTCTGAAAAGCATTACATCTTGGGTAAAAGCTATTTTCAAGGTTTCAGAGTTCCAGCCCCTTAGCCACATCAATACAGTACTGCAACAAAACATAAATGAAATGGATTTCCAGTGCATGAGGAGAGTTACTGCCTCAAAGAGAGTAACTCCAGTAGGCCAGAAAAAGTAAGATGGAACCATTTTTCCATGGGAAAAGAAAAGGGTCACTAGTAATACAAAAGGGTCCATTTAATAAATATAGGAGGAATTTTGGAAGCAGGGTATTACTTAGCCTCTTACTCAAACACATAGCCAAGCTATGTGGCAACAAATAGCGAAGCTACTCGACCTGCTGACTGATGACATGCTCATACAGTACATGCTTGAAGACAAGCACTTCTGAATGTCTGAGTTGACTGGTAGTGTTGTGAATTACTGCAGACATACTACATTTTTGTTTTTCAGTGTATGCAGCTGAATGAATGCAAGCCAAAATGAAATAATTATAAAAACTTTAAAAAACCCCAAATTTAAGCTCTGTTAGGACAATCTTGCTTATTCACATAAAATACTCAGTTAATACTTTGGAATTAGCCACACTCCTGAAAATACAATGCCTATTTACAGAAAAATCATTTTACATATTCTTTTCAAAAAGGCCTATTTTCTTTCCTGTCAGGAGCAATTCAAACTATCAAGTCTCAAACCTACTGAGTGCCCTACTCTCACAACTACATAGGTGATCTAGTGAGAAAACAAGATGTAGGGAGTTAGAACTACATCAACAGAACA